CGGGACATTTTAAAGCCAACGGCTAGTCTATTTGCCCTTTTGCCCTTGTTTCTTTTAGGTTTTGGGAATGGCAGCGATGTTAGATTCTTGCGTCGAGCGTCTAGAGAGGGCTGTGGCGGCGATCTAGCTGATGACGCTGCTCGCCAGGATCCGATGATCGAAGAAGCGTCCGCGGCAGAGGATTCCAGGGTCGCGGCCAGGGATGACGAAGAAATCACGGTTTTCTCGAGCCCGGTGCGAGATTTCGAGCTGGATTTGGGAGATGGAGAGGAAATTCTTAGCAGTTTCTGCGAGGGGAACGAGCTCTCGTTCAATTACATTCCAGGTATGTTCTTGTTCTTGCGAGAAGCATCGCGAAATACTCTGCCGCCATGCCTATGCCTATTTCCAGACAAGGTCGTGGCCGCGATAAATGCCGGTGGCTCATCGATTCTAGATACATCTTTCGGCATCGATTTCGTGGACGATCGATTTTTCTCTGGTGGAGATGTGCTTAGAACTGCCGAAGATATCGTTGATGCGCAGGAGCCTTCGCTATACCGCACAGCAAGGTATGGGGAGGTTACTTACGCCCTAGATGGACTGGAAAGTGGAGATTACTACGTGGATATCCACTTTGCCGAGATTATTTTCACGAATGGTCCTCCTGGGATGAGGATCTTTGACGTCTACATTCAGGACGAGAAGGTGAGAGTCTTTGGAATTTTTTCATGTTCTTTTCACTTTTTACGTTTGTCCTTCTTGCGTATAGGTTGTCTCGGATCTTGACGTCTATGGACGGGTGGGGTCGAACAGGCCCTTGATTTTGCTAAACGTGCGAGCTGCAGTCGACGGCGGTGTTCTTACTTTGGCATTTCGTGGCGTTGTTGGAAATCCCACCATCAGCGCCATCTGCGTTCACAGAGCTCCTCCTCTTGGTGCGTTTCTTCAATGTAGTAAATAATTTGTTGATTTTTTTGTTTGATCCAGCTAAGCGAACCGGTCGTAAGCCACGACCAATTTACGAGCTTGCGTTGGAAAACTGCCAGAAGCAGAATGCTCGCAGACTCACGTTTTGTGAGCAGGTTCGTAATGCAGCGCTACTTTTTCTCAAACTATTAATGATGGTTTGGATTGCTTCAGATGAGGGATAAAAGTCGAGGAGCAGTTACTGAAAGCGAGCAAAGATTGGAAGAACTCAGAAACGAGTGCCATCAGGCCTGGATTTCTGTTCAAGAATCCAATCGCCAAGCTGAAAAATTACGTGATGAACTTTCCGTGAAGTCTCTTACTGTCGATACACTCGGTACGATTATCTAGATTGAGTTAAGACTTTATGCTTTTTGTTTTGTTATCAGCAAATGCCGTGGAAACTCAGGTGCTGGAGCTAAGAGATTTGAAGGAAAAAGAAATGAACGAAAAGACGAAGTTGAAGCTAGCCGTCAGTGATGCCCAGAGGAAAGTCGAGGTTAGCGTCCATTTCTTTCTCTGTCTTCTGATACTTATTCATTTGTTGATAATCCAGGAACTCAGAATACTCTATAGTCTCCTGTCCAAGGACGCAAGAGATTGTATATGCTCCTTTCCAGATCCCCATGGCATGGTTTCTGCGGTTCAAGCTTTAGGTAAGGCCGAGCGCAGTTGGACTTACTTCAATGCTGAATATATCGTTTTTGTCAGTGAATGAACAGAAGGAGTTAAAGAAAAGACTACTAGACGAGAGTCAAGAACGGAAGTTTTTGTACAACAAGTTGATTGAAATGAAAGGCAAGTTTGCTACATCTGTATAATTGATTTCATGAGTTTTCTTCCAGGGAACGTTAGGGTGTTTTGCAGATGCAGACCGTTGAATGCATCAGAAGCGTCAGCATCGTCGGTGTCACTAGTCGAGTTTGACTCCGCTAGAGAGAATGAACTCGTCATTCGGGCTGGCACCAATCCGAAAAAGCTCTACAAGTTTGATCGAGTGTTCACTCCCGAAGACGATCAACGTGAGTATATGGCAAAGTCTATATTCACAAGCTGATCCTCGTTTCCGTTGTGCAGCTGAAGTGTTTGCAGACACGTCTCCGGTCGTTGTATCTGTCCTGGATGGCTACAACGTGTGCATATTTGCCTACGGACAAACAGGTACTGGCAAAACATTCACGATGGAAGGCATTCCAGGAAACCGAGGTGTCAACTATCGTACATTGGAGGAACTTTTTCGACTATCTACTGTACGCAAAGGAGAGGTCAACTATGAGATAAAAGTTAGTGTTCTAGAAGTTTATAATGAGCAGATCCGAGACTTGTTGACAACACCATCTCAAGCTGGTCTGGCGCCAAAGAGGTAGGCAAAGCTATTATTGCGGCTTGCTAACACATTTTGTTCAGGCTAGAAATTAAGCAAGACGCTGATGGTGGCCATCGTGTTCCTGGCCTCGTCGAGGCTGAGGTACACAGCATGACAGAAGTATGGGAGGTTCTCCAAAGCGGGAGCGCTGCTCGAGCTGTTGGCTCTACAAATGCTAACGAACATAGTAGCCGTTCTCACTGGTTTGTATAACGTCTTGAAGTTTAAATTTTGGTCTCTAATGATGCCGTTGCAGCATGTTGTGCGTGAAAGTAAGAGGCGAGAACATGACTACAGGAGAATGTACTCGCAGCAAGCTTTGGCTTGTCGATCTTGCTGGAAGCGAGAGAGTTGCAAAAAGTGATGTTCAGGGTGATCGCCTGAAAGAAGCTCAGAACATCAACAAGTCGTTATCAGCCCTGGGAGATGTTATTCACGCTCTAACGACGAAAAGTAACCACGTGCCTTACAGGTAATTCAGGTCTAGAGCAACGCAGACATTAATTAGTCGGGCATTGTGCAGGAACTCGAAGTTAACACATCTTCTGCAAGACTCGCTTGGTATGTCTGGCGTTCCCTCTTCAATTGTCCATTCATTCTTTTGTGCAGGAGGAGAATCGAAGACTCTTATGTTCGTACAGATAAGCCCCACCGAGGCTGATGTCGGGGAAACGTTGTGCTCCTTAAATTTTGCTAGCAGAGTACGTGGTGTAGAGATGGGTCCGGCAAAGAAGCAGCTCGATTCCTCGGAGTTTTTCAAGTATAAGCAAATGGTAAAGTATTTCTCTGTGAATCTCAGTCTCCTAAAACCCAGAGCATGCAGGCAGAGAAGGCTAAGCAAGATGTGAAAACCAAGGATGATAGCGTCAGAAGGCTCGAAGACAGCTTACGTACCACCGAAAGTAAACTGAAGGTAAAAGAACAACTGTGTCAGAGCCTAGCTGAAAAGGTCAAGGACCGAGACAAAGTTGCTGCTGAACTGGAGCTCCAGCTAGCCACCGAGAAGAAAGCTCGTCTTGCAGCAGAAGTGGCTCTCAAGGAAAAGCGTCTGAAAGCTGATAGAGAAGGATCGTGGGACAGGGCTGACAGGGCGAATGCGGAAGAAGCTCTTGAAGCTGCGTTTAAAACAGCCGCTAGTTTTCACCCCAAGGAAAATAGTTACAGACAACCGTTACAAGAGCGGGCGCTGGAGAATGAGCTTAAGCCGCTAAGCAAAGACGAGAAAGCTCCCAAAGTCCTTGGTGAAACCGTGCTCTGCAAAACGAGAACATCGATCCCCAAAATCCAGATGGTCTTACTTCGGTTCTACGCAAGCCTCCACACGCAAGGCTGAAGGTGGTACCTTCGAGATTCAATTCTCCGCCGCTTATGCCAATGCCCCGCCGAACTTCGCTGTGCGGAATCATCTCGACGCGACCGTCCTTGGCATCCTGCTGCCATACCGAAATGTCGGTCGTGGAGACTCCATCAACTCAGCTTAAGTCATCGGAGGTGCAAGAGGACATTAAGACAGTGCAGAGTATCGTCCAAGCAGAGAGCCGCACCTTCCAGGTAGAAGATAGCAACGTCCCTTCCGTAGCCTGGAAAGGTATCGACGTTCCTGGAACGCTCACAAGGCTAAGGCAACACAGAAGAGTACACTTCAGCTCGCCGTTAATGCGGTCGAGGGAGAAGCTGATGGCGTTGAAGAAGGAAACGTGCGACAACCTCCCGGAAACAAAGCAGTCCAGTGGTACCAGAATGAGACGAGTAAGTTTGGTGGCCAGGTCCTGGAACAAGCATCCAGGAGGAGCCCAACGAATTCTCAGTGGCAGGAAGGGTTCCATGCACCAGCGTGAAAGGGGCTGGAACAAAGGATAGATAAGAATGGGAGCCGCAGCATACATACACTACGAAGCAGTTGTGCTCTTCATATAGCAAGTAAGCTTACATGTTTCTAATCACGTCATTCGTTTTACATCATTAGTTCTTTCTAGATATGTCAAGGAATAGCTCTAAAGTCCGGCTGAAAGCAAACCAGTGGCGGAACGGCGATCCTAAATGCACTCTCGGGGACATGGCTCCAGACATCAAGCTTCGTGTCATAAGCGAGTCCCCCGAGTTCTGGGTGTCCCTTGAGAGAGGCTCCAATCAGCCGACCGGTGAAGGACGCCTCAAACTGGTAAGCTCTTACAAACGTAGTCTGCTCGACCTTTACAATAAAGTCTTTCAGGAGATTACACGGCATGCACAGCCAGAGCACCCACGGGCTCTTGGTCACCCGCTTGCCTTGGTCGAGCTCCCATACCGCAATGGAGTTCTCATCACTGCCCTCTATCCGGACCCCGGATACCGTCACGTAGCGCCCCCGAAAGTCGACGAGATTGTTGGAGATAGAAACGTCGCGCTCGTCGACTCTAATGGACCCGCAAGGTGGGCTCACTCTCCTGAGGAGTTTCCAATCGTACAGGCTGAGCAGCAGCGTCTCTGAATCGCACGCGTAGTAGACGAGCTCGTCGCTGGCGACGATCACTCCGGGGAAGGCTGAAACTCTCCTCGGCCAGCGTCGTGCCCCAGTCCCCGCGCC